GCCCTAGCCAAGGCCCTGATCTTGCCCAGAAACCCCTCCTCCATGCCACCAGAACTTCTCCACAAACACAGAGCATCCTGCTCCTTCTCCAAGGCCCCCAGGCCGGCCAGCCCAGTGAGCTCTCTGCCTTCTCTGTGGCATCTGGAACGTACCCCCTGGAGCTCTAGCTAATTCTAAGCAGGCTTGACGCTAGCCTGGTCCTCTGGGTGCCACACTCTGAGCTCTTGGATCACCTCGGAACAGTGCCATCTTCATCGTAGGTCCCTAATAAATACTAGTTGAGCAAGCCAATGAATGGATGAGGTTGCTGGAGATTCTCTTCTCCAAGAACCCCTTCCAGACCAATGGGTTCAGTGATTCCAATAACCCCCTGACCCTCCTTCCAGGAGTAAAACACACCACATCTGGATCAGTCTCAGCTCCGCCAGTTGGCTTCCCTTTAACCTCTCTGGGCTTCAGTGGACAATGGCTTTGCTACCTGCCAGGTGCGTGGTGAACATTAAATGGGATGCTCTATGTGGGACATAACATATGTCTTTCTGAACATTCAATTACTGTGTACCTGGCACGCTTTTATTATCATGGAAGTGTGCATGCACTCGATGCTGGCTCTGTCTGGGTGTGCTAGCAGCCTCCCTCCCTCCCCTCTGAGCTGGGGAAGCTGTGAACGCCAGCTGGGGTTTAAAGGGCTGGTGTTCAAGGGGTTCCCCGAGGGATCCACGGGGCCAGGGCCCAGAGCGTGGCTCATTTCTGGATGTCACCAGGCTCCTCCCCATTTCGTGGGTGAGTTTGACGAAATTTCCTGCCTCTCTGGGTCTTGGTTCCCTTATCTATACAACAAAACGTTGAGTAGACCTTCAGATTTTCAAGTTTTTTAAAGCCACAGAGCTCGTAAAATCTTATATTCAAATAAAATCTCACACCAGGAACCCACATGTGAGATCAGTTAGAGCAGAGGTGCTCTAGCTAAAGCAGGGGTGGCTTTGTGAGCATCCAAGACCTGACCCTCCTTCCCAGCCTCGGAGGTCCTGAGGCCCTCTGCCAAGCTGTGAAGGGTCCTCAGCTCCCAGTGCTACCTGCCCACCCCACCCCACTGGTGAGAGGGCTGCCAGCCACCCTTCCAGACCCGGCATTTTTAGCTCTTTTTCATCCCTGCTGAAATTCAACAAGACTGGTGGGAGGGAAGGGAAGACCGAGGTTAGAAAGACATCCTGATCCTCACAAGAAGGATGTGTATTCTTCAAGCCGATGCTCCCCACCTGATCGGAGCTCTTTCTGGAAACTACGGGGGAGACTCGGTTTTCTTAGCTCTCTAATCCCAGTGCTCAGCTCACTGTCTGATACAAGAAAGGGGAGCAATAAATGTTTGTTGAATAGAATAAAAGAATGAATGAATTAACAAAGGAACAGTGAGGCTGAGAAAGAAATGAAAGTGACATCCTGCTTCAGGAACACTTCCGAACTGTCTGGAGGAACTTGGACTAACTAGCCCCGACCTAGCCCATGCCTCCCCTGCCCTCACGAGCATGCAGGCATGCAGGGGAATTCTCAGGCCGGGGTGAAGCTCCTTCCTCAGCATCTCACCCACAGGAGCCTCTGGCCTGGGAGAGGGGAGAAGGGTGAGGAGGCAGAGAGACCTAGATTCCAAATCTGAAGAGGGAGGGAGCTTGGAGGAAGGCACAGCAGGGCATCGGAGGTGGGCTTCCGGGGGGGGGGAGGCCAGGGGCTTCCCAGCCATCCAGAAATCCTTCCCCTCCAACCTGCCCACAGCCCTCCTCCCCCTTGTCCTTGGACACATATTGCCCAGGACAATGCTGAGAAACACTGCAGGGACCAAAATAAGCTCCTACCTGCTGGAAAGGGTAAGAGACAAATCTTAAAACCTCATGCACTCCCCCAGACTTCTCTGGGGGCCTCACTGGCCTTGCTACCCCCCATCCCTGCTGGTATCCTGAGGCAGGGGTGCTCAGGAATGGCTTCCCTTCTTGGACAGGCCCTTCTCTGTCTAGTTTTGAGAATTCTAGGAGGAGGGCATGCAAGGTTGCCCCTCAGGGGTGCTACACTCCAGCCCCCCCCTTCTCCCTACACCCCTGCCCTCAGCACAGAGACTGCAGGGGTGAGGGGCCTGGAGAAGCCCAGGATGAGGCTCCAGAAGGAAAGAAGTAGGACCAAGAGGTAAAGGGGCAAGGGGGTAAAGGGTAGTCCCCTTGGGGTATTTAGACTCACTATGATATTATCTCACCCCCAGAGCCACATGCCAGATAGAAGCTTTTCACTGGGTACCTATAGGGGCCCCCAAATCTGGTACTTGTGGGATTTAGCATGACTGGCTGCACAGAGCAGATTCCAGAATTTTGCACTCCCCTACTCTTTTACTGCTGACACTACTCCACCCGCCTGGGGTTGCCTACTTGCCTTGTGGATAAAATATCTGTGCTAGCCCTTCTCCATAACTCAGCTCATTACGCCCTCGCAACTATGCCCATTTCATGGATGAGGAAACCAAGACACAGCTGTTCAAGGCAGGGGAAAGCATGGATGGTCATGGGGAGCGTCATCTGGTTGGGGGTCCTGGACATACTTCGAAAGCCGGAGAGTTTTTGGCTCAATGTAAACTCTGGATATCTTGTTTCAGCTGTTCCGCCTATATGTTCCCACATTGTCCTTTTCCCACTACAGACCTCCGACGTCCCCTTTCTCCTGCCACAAAAGTCTCTCCCTCTCCGTCCTGGAATCTGCCCTAGATGGGGTAGCCAGGACTCACAAGGTTTCTAGGTGGAAAGGCCTAGCACCCGTGGTCTCCATCTTGGCCATGTTTCCCACCTTAGAATGAACTTCCCAGCTGTTGGAGCAGGAGAGGACGAAAGATGTCATTTGTCTAAGTTGACCGATGGGTAAACGGAAGCCAAGGGAGGAGACGTGATTTGCCTGGACCACCCATCCAGTGAGTGGCAGCGTAAGGCCTAGAAGTCTGCTTCCAGCTCTTCTGACTCTTAATCAAGTGCTCTTTTCAGGGCACCAAATGGCTTTGCTGCCCAGGAGCACTGTGTTTACCACGGACACCCCCACTCCCTCCTGCCCAGAAGACTCTGAGGAGGTGGTGTGTTTTTTTCCAGAACAACTCTCTGGGATGGACCCTGACTGGGCCTGCTCTGTTCTCAAACAGGCTAGTCTGATCCCCCAAGAGGACTGGCCCTGGGAACAGGCAGAGGTTGAGGGAAGAGGGGAGGGAGGGAGAGAGAGAGGAAAGAAGGGAAGAGGGTTTTGGTTCATTTTACCCAGAACTGAAGAAAAACAAATGATCTACAGGTATTATGCAAACGTATCCACTACCTGTCAACCACCCACAGTAAGAAGAATTGGGGGTGGGCTCAGGTGCCCTCCAGAGCTGAAGATGCTGGAAGGTTAGATAGGGTGATGCAATCACCTCTCCCCTGCCCCCTGCCCCAAGCCAGACCTGCCTGGGTCTTCCTGGGGTTTTTCTGTCAGCTCCATGAGTGAAAATCAGGGGGCTGAGTGAAAATCAAAAGGAAGCCTTGAACCCCAAAAAACATGGGCCAAGGCGAGGGCTCAAGGCAGGGGGACCGATGCGCAGGTTGGCGTGTTCACGTGGCATGGGGAGTAAGCAGAATGTCGGGATGCCATTGGGAGTGTTGAGGAAGTCTGCAGGGGAAGCCGAGGGAAAGGAGGCAAAATGAGAGTGGACACTTCCTTGTTTCTCCAGCTGGGCTCCGGGGGAGGACTGCAATTTTGCTGCCTGAGGCACAGATTCCTTGCTCCCCCTGAAGGATGAAATGGAAGTGATCTTTCCCCAAGCTGGGTTTCTTCTTCCTCCCCCTGGAAGATTCAACCTGCCCTGACCCCTTCCTCCCAGCTGCTCGACTTCCTGCCCTAGTCCATCCCCACTGCGCTTCAGTGCAGACCCCCTCGACAGAGGCCGTGTGCTCACCCTCCTCTGGGCAGAACCTTTTTCTTGATATCCGGAGATTCAACAAGGGGGCAGTGCCCGCAGGGACTGGGGTGTGGCCCGGTGGGTTGGCACTGACTCTCTTTGCCCTCCCAGGCCCATTTCCAATATCCACGAACAAGGATTTCTCAGGTCAGGGTCTCTGCAAGGCACAGTCTTCTGGGTGAGGGTCTGCCCCCCGGTGGTCCTCGGTGGGTACCAGTGGGCCGCCTAAACTGTAAGTGCAGCAGGAGACAGCCAAGGGAGGGATCAGGATGGGGCACAGTGCGGAGAGCACTGTGTCAGGAGTCAGGCGCCTGGTTTCTGACTCTGGTCCCCTTAGGATTTGCTGTGTGATCTCGCGGAAGGCCCCTCCTTCCCCGAGTCTGCTTCTTTATCTGCAACATGAGGGGATTGGACTGGATACCTTTTGGCTTAGGTGTTGTGCAACGAAGAGGGAGGAGGAGGAAAGAAAAGGGGCACAAGAGGGGGTGACAGTGGCTGAGATCATCTTAGGAAGGTAGGTCACTTCCCTGAGTCCCAGTGCCCTCATTTGTAAAATGGACATTGCTAATAGACGAACAGGCAGTTCTGAAAGATAGAGGAGAAGAGAATATAATGACTCAGGATAGAGCCTGCGAAGTAATGTGCTCCAGAAGGCTTCCTGAGAATATGCAGGGGCTGGTTTCATGGGAGAGCAGGGTTTCAGCAGTGAGGGGTGGGAGCGTGTGCCCGGGCTTCTAGCTGACTGTTGCGGGGGTTAGGGGGGCACCCTGGAGCCCTGCAGGTGAGAGGCCCAGACACGCCGGGTGCAGGGGTCCCCGGAGGCCAGGCATCACGCACTGAGAGGGGAGCCAGTGAACACAGGGAGGCTGCCCGTCTGTCCACTCCCGAGGCTGGGTTCACACACCAGACCCTGGAAAAGCTCACATTTTCCCAGCTTTTCTCACCCAGAATCATTTCCTTTGTTTAGAGGAGGGGGTGGGGGAGGAGACGGAGGGCGAGGAGGGAGGGGCCCGCGGGTGCCGCCGCCGCCCCCGCCCCCGCCCCCTCCCGGTGTGCCGAGCCGGGTTGTCACTCAGCTCCCCGCCGGGGGCGACGGAGGCGCCGGCGCCCAAGTCGAATCCCGGCCAGCGACCGTCCCCCTGGACCTGACAGGCTGGCCCCGGATCGTGCAGGCATCCCCGGAGCGGGAGGGCGCTTGGACACGACCGTTCAGGCGGCTCGGAGCCCTGCCAGCTCTGGTGACCTTGGGTAAGTCTGTGCCTCGGTTCGCCCCCGTGGCTCCCCAATGGGGGATGCAGGAGAGGGCTGAGAGGGGCGACCGGAATGCCCCTTGGGGCAGGAGCGGGCGAGAGTTCCTGGCCTGGCAGGGTCCCTGGAGCGGGACCGGGCGCTGCTGAGAGGCGGGCGCCCGCAGTGGCTGGGGCGGGTGGTGCCGGGCACATGTGCGCGCCGGCCGGGCAAAGGGGAGCCCGCGCCCCGATCTGCGGCTGGGCTCCGTCCCCCAGCCCCACGCCTGCCTGCCCAGTCCCAGGTGCGACGCCGGGGCGCTACCTCTTTAAAAGCGCCTGGGGCTGAGCCTCCGCCGCACCATGTGATTGCTTGAAAGGCCGGGCTGGGAGAGCGGCGGCGGGAGCCGGGGACCATGAGCCGCCGGTGCGCGGTGCCTGGAGCCCAGCCCTGCCGGCGCCGCCCCGCGGCTCTGCGCGCCACCAGGTGCCCAGAACTTTGGGCTCCGCCTCCGGGACCCCCTGGTGGCCAGCGGGCAGGATGGTGAGCTGCCTACAGCCTCTTCTGTGGCATGGGTGGGCAGAGCCAGGCACGGGGACCCCTGTGGGGTGTGCGCGCGCGCGCGCGGGAGCTGCCTCACACCTGATAAACCAGTGGAGGAGTGAGCGCTGCTATTTTAAGTTGTTGAATGGACCCTCTGGGAATGATAAGGGGAGGGGACAAAGATTAGGCAGAGAAAGGGCCAGGGTTCCCCGCCAGCCTGGGCAGGCACTAGATGCGCCAAGCGGGGAACCGCTCCAAAGGGCAGCGGGGGTTTCCGAGCTGCCTGGGCTCCCCCTGCCCCTCCCAGGCAGGCCTCCCCACCGCAGGCTTCCGTGACCACAGGTGCCTGCCTCCTGACCCTTGGTGCCCGTCTGCTGATGTGCCTGGCCCGTGCCTGCCATGCCGCCCTCCATCTCGGCCTTCCAGGCCGCCTACATTGGCATCGAGGTGCTCATCGCCCTGGTCTCTGTGCCCGGGAACGTGCTGGTGATCTGGGCAGTGAAGGTGAACCAGGCGCTGCGGGATGCCACCTTCTGCTTCATTGTCTCGCTGGCCGTGGCTGATGTGGCTGTGGGCGCTCTGGTCATCCCACTAGCCATCCTCATCAACATCGGGCCGCGGACCTACTTCCACACCTGCCTCATGGTCGCCTGCCCCGTCCTCATCCTCACCCAGAGCTCCATCCTGGCCCTGCTGGCAATTGCTGTGGACCGCTACCTCCGCGTCAAGATCCCCCTCCGGTGAGTCCAGAGCTGCTGAAGGTACCCGCTGCGCCCCACCCTGCGCCCCATGCTCGGTGGCTCCAGGGCCATCTAGAGAGGATAAAAGGTAGAGCAGAAGACCCCATGGAAGCCAGATAGTCCCTGGGCCATTGTGCCCCAGTCCTCACTCTGCCTTCCTGTCGCCTCTACAGTGCCAGGCTGAGCCGCAGTGGAAGCGGGGGTGGGGGGGAAGCTGGGTAGCTGGGCGAATGGGAACCTGGCAGTGCCCAGGACCCTAGAGCTGAAGCCGCTGCTGTTCTCCTGACGTGGCCAGGGAAGCCGAGGCTGCCTGTCCAGCCTGGGGTGGGGGCTTTGGAGGGGGCCACCAAGACGGTCACAGCGAGTGCGGGGTGGGAATAAGCCGAGCTCCCATCCGGGGATGTGGAAGGGGCCGAGCAGATGGCTAGAGTGGGGTGAGGGTGTCCGGAGTGTGACCTCCCAGGGGCAGGAGAGCTGCTTCTCCAGCCAGCCCCGGGCAGGCTTCCTGAACACACTCTTCAGTTCTCGTGTTCTCTGGCGTCTGCGGCAGCCAGCTCCACCCTCCACGGCTGTCCCGCTGAACCTAAGCGGTCTGATGACCTCTGCCCAACTTCCACTTACGGGATCTCTGTTGCAGGCAGGAGAGGGGACAGATGAAAGTGCCTGCTCTTAAAGTCCCTGTCCTGTTGCTAAGCTGTGTGTGGCTTTGCCAGTCACCGCAGAGGAGCTGATGCTGGGTCCAGGCAGCGCCAGGGTGAGTGGCCTGATAGTGGTGGTCCTCAGGCGAGTGTCTGGTCTACGCTGGGGCCTGCCAGGCCATAATCTCGTCACCAGGCAGTGCCTGGGCCACCAAGTGCCAGTGAATGTCTGGGCCCACTGCCAGTCCATGCTGCCCTGGCGGGGACACTCTTGGGAGGCATGCTGTCCCCCTCTTTGAGTCTGATCACCAGTAGATTCCCTTTCTACGGGGGAGCTCCGACCATCCCTGGCACCTGCCATCCCCAGAGTAGCTTCCATATCTGGGACACGGGGCCTCTGGCCTCACTTGGCAACTTGCCCAGGCAGGCCTAGGTGCCCACGTTTCTCTTGTGTGCATTGCATTTGTGCACATTTACCTTTTCAAAGCTTTTCTTCATGCACCATTTTTTTCCTATCCTCTCCATGATCCTCTAAGGGAGGTGGAGAAGGAACTGGTAAAGGAGAAACTTCGGAGAGACCCAGAGGGTCTCCCGAAGCCAGTTGGGAGCACAGCCTAGATTCCACTGCCCACCTTCCTTCCTGACTCCCCCTGTCCCGGTGCCGACATGCCAGTTTCCGTGCCCTGCGTACCTCCCTCACAACCTCGTTTCCCAGGGGAGGTGGGCGAAGGCTGCCGCTCGGGGGATGGGGGGAGGCGGAGAAGGGGGCCCTGAAGCCCCCTGCAGGCGCAGCTGCAGAGGGGCCTTCCGGCTGCCGTTCATCCCAAGTGGTGGCTGGGCCGTGCAGAGGAAGCTGGTCTCAGCCCATTAGAGCGGCCTGGGCCTCTGAGGCGGACCATTATAACAAAGTGTTGCCACATTAGGAAACTCACTCAGATATGCAGATGTAGGAGGGCTGCTCGAGAAATTCTGTCGCTGAGCGGGTGCCAAGGTGAACCAAAGGCCTGATCCTGATGTGACAGTGGTCACAGGCCTGCAGAACATGCCCTACTCACCTTGTGGGAATGGGGGTGGCTGAGCCGGCAGGGCTGCAGGCTCTGTCTTCCAGGGCGTGTCTGTGGTTGCTCCTTGCTCTGGCCTCCAGGAGCCGGGGGTGTTGGGGAGCTGTCTTCTGAGGGCCAAGGTAGGGGGGTGCCTAGAGCCTAAGAATATAGGCGTAGGTTCGAATCCTTGCTATGAGTTCCTAGCTGTGTGACCTTGGGAAAGCCACTCTTCACCTCTTGAAGCTTCAATTTCCTCATCTATAAAAAGGAACATTAATAATAGTACCTTCTTCGGGCACCTGGGTGGCTCAGTCCGTTAAGCGTCTGCCTTCAGCTCAAGTCATGATCCCAGGGTCCTGGGATCGAGCCCCACATCAGGTTCCCTGCTCAGTGGGGAGCCTGTTTCTCCCTCTCTCTTGCTTGTGCTTGCTCATCAATCAATAAATAAAATAAAATAAGATAAAATGAGTAAGCATCATTTAAAAGAAATAATAGTACCTTCTTCCTAAAATGACTGGAAGAATATAAACTCCTACGTATAAAACACTTAGTACTGTATAATGCACTTGGTATGACCTGCAAGCCAGAAGTGGTATGTTTATGTGTGTAGCTTTATGAACATTATTAACATATGGCTCAAAGTGGGTGTGAATAAGCAAGCCCTGGCGCCCCGCCCCACGCACACTCATGCTCTTCTACAGCAACACATACACCCCACCCCCCACACGTACATGCGTGCACGCACACACACAGTGCATTTCCAGGGAGGTTTCAGAATACTGCTAAGTTATATTTGTACATGTCTCTTCCTCCTTGGTGGATTGTCAGTGTGTTCAGGGCAGTGACCTGAGCAGCAACTGCATGTTGTCCATTTCTGCAAATTCTCCAGAATGCTTAGCTCAGTGTCTGGCACAAGGCAGACACTCAGTAAATGTGAATTGAATTGGGTGAGTTTTCAGAGCTCACAGGGTTGAGCCTCCGTCAGGCCTTTCAGATGGCTAACCTCTAACCTTCTTTCTGGGAACTAGACCTCCCCTGCATTCTCCTTCAGGGATCCGACCGCAGCTGCCCAACAGCTCAGGCCGTTCCTTTGGAGCCACACCCCACCAGTGCCTGGGGGGGTCCTGCCCCGTGGACAGGAGTCTCCTCAGGGAGAGAAAGACCGTTGGGGTCTAGCTCCCAAAGCCAGGATCCTGGAGGCTGGGCTGACGGGCTGAGCCACTCCAGGCCCTGGCCCATTACTGCCTGGTCCCCCTGAAGGAAGGGCAGCATGATCCTCCCTGGGCAGTTAGAGTCAGCAGGCTGCTGGGCCTGGGGTAATATCTCTCAGCCAGAGGTCCCCCTGCACTTGGCTTGCTGCCTTGACCAGCCAGGCGGAGGCAGATGCCGTCGACACTGGGGAGTACTACCGACCGAGCGCTGGTGAGACATCTGTGGGGCGGCCGGGTGACAGGAGTGAGCTTGGGCCCCTCAACAAGCAAAGCATGGTTTGGTTGGCCAACCACAAATTTTATTTCATTCCATTTGGCAGAAAGCCAAGAGAGAAAAAAGGCTTCACATCACATAATATGATCCAGTCACAAAAAAATTTAAAAAAAAGAAAAGAAAAGAAAAAGAAAGAGCTCAAATTGTTGATTCATCAATAACCCGTGGCCATTTACATGTGTTTTGTATCTTATTTGCATAGCACCTCCACATGCCTGGTAATCCAAATCTTATTCCCCTGAGCTCCTACTTCTAGGAATCTCCAGCATTCATCCACCACCCCTCACCCTGAGTTTCTTCCAGTGGCACTCTGTGGCCTACTCCAGGGGGCTGGTTATGGGGCTAGGTGCCAACGGGGGGCTCCCCCACCAAAGCCCTCTCTGTGGGAAGGAGCCCTGAGCAAGAGCTGTCTATGGCCAGAGAGGTTGGGGTGGCCTGAAGGGGTGGTGGGTCTCTGGGAGTCAGAAAACCTTGAGTTTGAGCCTTGCTGCGTTACTACCTAGCTGTGCATCCTTGGCTAAATTCTTCAGCCTCTCTGAGCCCCACCCCCCACCTCATCTGTTAGGTAAAGGGACTAGATCTGAGGCCTCTGAGCTTCCTTTCAGCTCTAACTCTATGGTTCTTCCTTATCATGACTCCTGCTAATGTGGTGTCGAGACCCTGGAAAGGTTGTGTTGGGTTGTGTTTTCTAATTCCTAGGAGTTCTGAGCCAGGCACAATGCTACGTGTTTGTTTGTACACACTTCATCCCATTTAGTGTTCCTAGGCTCTCACTAGTAGACGGTATTGCTATCCTCATTCCGCGGACACTTCTGTAGATAAACTGAAGTCTGAGGGCCAGGGAGTTGCAGTGATTTGCCCAGACATCTTGTCAGGAGCAGAGACAGGATTTGAATCCAGGCCTGTCTAACAGATGTCTTTAGCCAGAGAGAACATACGTATCTTGAATCAGCCCCACGAAGCTGGGGGACTTATGGAGGGCGTTCCTCAAGGCTGTCAGTGGGGTGATTTTTCTCCTCTGATCTCTGCCAATGGCCTCTGCACTCTGCTGGACCGTGCCGGGCGCCTCCCTCAGTCCTCACCTTCACTCCAGTGGACGGCGGAGCCCCTGGCTGGCCTGCCTCTGTCCACAGCTGGAGGCCTGCCCGACTGGGCTGCTGACCCGGGGGCGCCCAGCAGGAAGGGTTGGAGGCCAACCTGTGGGGGCAGGGGAGAAATCTGGTAGATTAGGACATGTTTGCTGTTAGGAATCAAGTTAGCCCTTCCCACCCTGGTGAGCCTGGGTCTTTTTTGACAACCAAAGTGGCGACCCCCTGTGGCCTCAGGGTCCCAGGACAATTGTTCTCTATGGTGCCATCTGTTTCCAGGGGTGGTAGTCTGTCTCCAGCTCCCCGCTGGGTGAGTCACAGGCCTAGAGTGGCACAGGGGGGAGAGGAGCCCTGAAGCTTGACTTCCTCACACTTGCAGAAGGGGAAACAACAGGGGCCCAGGGCTCCAGCATGTTCAAGGTCATTCTGCTAGGAGCCCTTTCCTCCTCCCAATCCTGACTCTCCACCGCCAGCCTCCCATGTAGAAGGTTTGGGGCAGGAGGAGCCCTTGGCAAGTGCGCCTCCTCAAGGAACAGAACAGAGCGTGCAGCCTCCGCAGGGGAAGTCAGCAAATCAGTGGTGGTCTTCCAGGGAGACAGTGAAGAGAGGATGTCACTTTGAGATGGAAAGGGAAATGTCTTTGCTTGAATGAGGGCTAGCCTTCAGATGGCTTATGCTAAAGAGCCTGCTGAGTGCAGGGGGGACAGAGATTTTAGTTGAGACAAATGTGGACGAGTTTCAAGGATGAAAGAAAGCTTCCCCAAGCTTTCATTGGAACAGCTCCCGGGAGGCCTCTGAGGGCTTTAGGAGCAAGCTGCCCAGGTGTTAATGCTGCTTTGGAAGCAGGGGGAATGACCACGATGCCCTCTAGAGAACCCCTCGACCAAAGGGTCGTGGGGTGGAAGCTTGGGGGCCACGCCCTGACATTTGATATTTATTTCTGAGCACGAAAGCTATCCATGCTCATGGTGAAAATGTTGAGAAATATAGGGAAGAACAAAGATGACAAAGTCACCAGCAATTCTACCACTTACAGATAACTAATGTTAACATTTTGGTGTTCCAGACATTTTTTCCACATGTATCTCTATATATATATATGTCTGTATCTCTAAATATATATAGATATAAATATAATTTTTACACGGTGGAGAGCATGTATGGCTCTCTATCTCCCACATTGTTTACTTTACTGTATTATAAGTATTTCCCTACGTCAATAAGAATGATTTTGTAAGAATTTTATGAGGGTAAAATACTGGATTGTCTTTTTGTTCATCTTTTAGGTCTCAGCTAAAACAGCCCCTCCTCTGGGAGGACATCTCTGACCCCCTCTCCACCTGGACCAGGCCAGTCTCCTCTGTTAGGTACTCAGGTTGCATCTCCGTCTTCCCTGTTGCTTATGGTCCAGGTGGTTTTTCCGAGTTTGCTACACAACAAGAGGGCCAGGACCCATCTGTGTACGTATCCCCCGTGCCTGGCCCAGAGTAGGCATGCTGGACACATTTCTTGAATAAACGAATTTCATGTTTTATTGATTCATTCTTACATTTTTGGCTGTTTGGATGGTTACTGATTTTGTATTAGCACGATTAACACCACACTAGTACCCACAATTCGCATCGTTTGTGCGGTCAGGGCCAAGCCCCGAGCCCTGGGTGTGCCTTCGGGTAGACAGCACAGCTTCCATCTGTCAGGATTTTTAGATGAGGTTAAATATTTGCCCTCTCTCTTTACTCCACCTCTCCCCACTCCTCCTGCCCAATTCCATGGACACTGCAGATCCCCAGAGGTGGATCTGGTACTCCTCTGTCCATTTGACCTTCTGGACTAGGCAGGGCAGGATGGGCTGGCCCAGCCTCCTTCTCATTACCTAGTCTCTAGTCCCTGAGGCCTGGACATCCTGTTTCTTTGCCCCTCAGTGAGGAGAGCAACCCCCCGGGGAGGGGCTCAGAGTGTGGCACTTTCTAGTTGGCCCTATTTGGCAGGGTGGGTACAGAGCAGAGAGGAAGGAGGACGGATGGTTCCTTGGGCTACGGGAATTACCTCTTCAGCCTCAGTCTCCTTAACTCAAGCCCAGAGGAGGCTGCCAGCTGCTGTAGAACAAAGAGGAAGCTGGTGGGTCATGGTGCGAGAGGAAGAGGAGGCTGGTGGGTGGGTGGGCCTTGGCATTCATACCCCCTTGGAAATACCAGCTTGGCGGTGGGCAGGGAGGTGGAACCAGCAGCAAGGGCCTTCCCTGAGCCCAAAGAAGAGGAGCTGAGGCACCTTCTCCTGCATTGCTCCTCACCCTGGGAGTTTAACCCCTAGCAGGAATAGAGGTAGAAGGTCAAGGAGTTGGTGACTTCCACAGATCTATTTCATAAACTGACTTTGAGCCCCTGCCGTGTCCCAGGAACTTTGCAGGCCTTGCATCTGTGGATACAAAGATGAGCAGGCTGGTTTGGTCTCTCCCTCCATCTGGAGGCTCTCAGCCACTGCTGAAATTGTGGATTCCTGCAGACCAAGGTGGCCGAGGACAAACCCCCAACCTGCCTGTGGTGGGAGTGGGGGTGTCAGGAGACTGGCCCCTGACACCTTACAGTGCTTGGGTGGCGTAGCTGGACCCTACTCCACACCCACTCTCTGCAGCCCACGTCATGTGGGAGAGGCCCTTCGGGACTATCTTCCTGCCGCCTGCCTCCAGAACTTCTCTGTCCTTCGAGAGAGAGAGAGAGGGCAACTGGTTACCCGTTCTTGTTCTCACACAGGACCCTGATATAGATAGATCTATTAGTTCGTTCATTGATTCATTCATTCAACAAATACTTACTGAACGCCTCATAAGTGCCAGGCATTGTTACAGATACGTTCATTAACAAAACAAAGATCCCCCTAGAGTCTGCATTCTAGCGGGTTGGAGGACAGCTGCTGAGTAATAACCGCAATACCTGATACGCAGAGTGTTAGAAGGTAGGATGTGCCAGTGGGAAAAGGAAAAGAACAGGCTAAATGGGACTGGGGATGCCAGGGTGAGGGTGGGGAGAAAGGGTTGCAGTTTTAAATGGGGTGGTCACGGAGGCTCCCTTGAGAAGGTGCCATTTGAACAAAACCTTAGAGGTGAGGGACTATGCCGGGCAGATATTAGAATATTTCACACAGAGGAAATACTTAGAGCAAAGGTCCTAGGGAAGGAATGTACCTGAAGGGTTTGGGGACTGGCAAGGAGGTCTGTGCCGCTGGGGTGGAGTGAGAAAGCTAGAGAATGGTCGGGGATTGGACTGGAAAGATAATGACCTACTGGCTTGGAGGTTGTTGGAAGGACATTGGCTTTTATTCTGAGGGAAATGGGAGCCATTGCAGGGTTTAGAGCAAAGAAGCCACATGATTTGACTTAGGTTTTAAAGGCTCGCTCTACTGCTGTATTGAGAATGCACCGTAGGGGTAAGCAGGGGTCTAGTTAGTTATTGCAGTAATCACATGAGGGAAGAGGGAGGTGGCCTGAATCAGAATCAGGTGTTGAGCTGGTGGTGAGAAGTGGTTAATTCTAGATGTGCATTTTCAAATTTTACTTTTTATTGACCTAAACTGTTTATATATTGAAATGCTTGAGTCTTAAGCATATCGCTCAATAAATTTTTGCATGTAGATATATCTATGTAACCACCACCCCGATCAGTATTTGCAACTTTTTCAGCACTCCAGAAGGTTCCCTTGTGTCCCTCCCATACCCTCTGAAAGGTCACCACTATTCTGACCTTCATCTCCATGGATTGATTTTGCCTGTTCTTGAACTTCTATAAAGGGAATCAAGTAGTATGTTCTCTTTTGTGTCTGGCTTCTGAAGCTTAAAATTATGTCTGAGATTCATCCCTGTTATTGAGTGAAACAGTAGGACTTTTTTTGTTTGTTGGATGGCTTGTGGTTTTTTTTTTCTCATTGCTAGAATTCCATTGCATGAATGTACGATGATTTGTTAAAATTCTGGATGTGTTTTGAAGAGCCGAGGAATTTGCTTATGGATTGGATGTGGGATGTGAGAGAAAGAAGAGTCAAGCCTGACCAGACTTTCAGTCCTAAGCAACCGGCTGGATGGAGTTGGCATTATCTGAGGTGGGAAAGGCTGCTGGGCGGGATGGGTTTTGTGAGAAATGGAGTTCAGATTTGGACACGTTGCATTTGGGCTATCTGTCGAATAGCTCTGCAATGTTGAGCGGGTTGTTGGATGGATATGCAAAGATGGAGTTTAGGAGAGAGATGTAGGCTGGGGATACAAACATGAGAGCCATTGCATGTCGATGGGGTATACATCCCCAAGGAGCCTTGATGAGATCTTCAGAAAGAAAGGACAGATGGGGAAGAGACGAGGCCGGAGGCCTGCACACTGAGAGGTTGGAGGGAAGAGAAGGCACGGATGTAGGAGGAAAACCCAGGGCCCCGAGTGAGTCTGGCGCCCAGGAAGGGGAGCTTGGAAAGTATGTCAAGGAGAAGCGAGGGATCGGCTGTTGCAGATGGCTGTCCACGGACCCAGTGGGATGAGGACTGAGAATTGCCACCAGATGTAGCAAGGGCAATGTCAGTGGAGTGGTGGGAACAGAAAGCTTGACTAGAGAAAGCTCAAGAGAGGAGAGGAAGGAATTGAAGGCAGTTGGCATAGATTACCCTTTTGAAGAATTTTGTTACGAAGGGAAAAAAGCAATGGGGCAGAAGCCGTCAGGAGAAGTGGGAAGAAGGCATTTTGTTTTGTGTTGTTTTCTAAGATTGGAGGGACATTAGTACATTTGTGTACCGATGACTAACCATCCAGCAGGGAGTACAAAACTAACGTTGAATCTAAGGAGAGAATTTCGGGGGTGATGGCTTTGGTTCGGCCGGCAGGGTTGGGACCCACACAGAGGGGCTGGCTCAGAGGCGCTCGGAGGTCATCTATCAGGCAGGAAGTCAGAGTGTGTGGGTGTGGATGCTGGGAGGTGAAGTTCTCTTCTGAGTGTTTCGGCTTTCTCCGGGAAGTGAGAAGCAAGGTCATCGGCTGGGAGGGAGGATGCGGGAGGAGGCGGTAGGGAGAGTAGCAAGTGTGAAATAATTCTCTGGAAGTGGGGAAGGGACTAGACTCGGGAAGTGGAGTATAATTGGGGGCAGCATGAAGGGCCTGCCAGAAGTTCACGGTTCACGGTGATGAGCCTGAAGGGAGACTCCGGCCGCGGGGTTGTGGGCTTATCACCAGCCGTGTTCAGCTGCATGGGCACAGGCATGGGAGAAGGTGGAGAGTTCATTCCTGCGTTCATCCAGAAGGGCCAGATTCTGGGCCAGGCACTAGGTGTCTCATCATGGTTATGGTCAAGGAGTGGGCCCTGGTCCCTGGGGCTTAGGAACTGGTGGTGGGAGAGAGCCAGAACACAGATAAGTGAGCAGGTGGCTACAATCATAACTTGAGGAGAATTCAAGGAAGGTAGCCATCCTGCTCTTCTCTGCGGCTGGCTCTGGCGTCTCCAAACCCCGAGTCAGTGTCCAAGGAGACCCACAGGCACCCGAGGACTTAGGTAGGGCCTTGTAGGCCTTGTGGTTCACGGTCAAGGGTTTGGATTTTATTCTAAGTGCGCGAAGAAGCCTCTGAGTGCTTTAAGCAGGGAATGACATAATCTAAATTACATTTTTAAAAGGTCAGAATTCATCAACGAAATATTAGCAAATCAAATCCAGTGATAGATAAAAAGGATAATACATCACAACAAAATAGGGTTTATTGCGTGCGTGCAAGGGTGGTTTCACATGGAAAAAACTCAGTGTATTCAGCACATTAGTATAAAAAGGTCACCCTGCCCGCTGTGTGGGGAATGGGTTGGACAGGCAAGAGAAGACTGTAGGAGGTCATGGCTAAAGGCGGGGGTGGGGGCGGGCAGGGAGCCCAGGAGGCAGTGGAGATGGAAGGAACTGGAAAGAGTTAGGGTGTGTTAGAGTTAGAACCAACTGGTAATGGACTGTGTGTGCAAAGCGAGAGAAGGGGTCAAGTGTGACCACCACGTTTATGGTTAAAGCCATTGGGTAGATGGTGGTGCTGATTCTGGAGAGAAGGTGGGGAAAGAAGAAACTGGAGGGAGATTCAGAACCTACTAGATACTCAAGTGGAGGTGATATGCTAGTGGGTCCTCTGGTGGTCTTCTCTCTCTTGCTCATTCCCCAGCTTTCATCCCTTCATGGAGTCTGGCAGGTGGGCCCTTTCTTCCCCCACACAGCTGTGAGGAAGGGGCCGCTCAAATATCCAGCCAGCTTCCTGGGTGCCTCCAGCCGCTCCATCTACTATCTTCCCATCTCACTTCTTAGGAGGCCGTTGGCTTCTTAGGCTGGAACCGCACCAATAAGGATGTGTAGCTTTGGGCTCCCTAAAGCTTCCAGAAGGAGACAGCAGGGCTGGGGGTTCTTCCTTCTTGCCAGGCTCCATTCCGAACGAGACACAGTGGCTTCTGGGATAGCTAAGGCCCCCGAGTCTCTGCCCATCCTCCCTTGGAGGGATATCCCCTTGGGATGTCCCTTGGGTGG